GAAATATGTTAATTCAGTATACACATTATCCCACCGGTTACAATTGTGACTGACCATAAAATAAAAATTTTCACGCACTTTTCCAAACAAAAAAGAAGTGATTATTTCAAAGGGTTGAAATAATGACGCATCATTTGGATATTTTCATGTCTGGGGAAAATTTGGGATTGAACGGGTTAAAATGCATTTTAAATTAAGTTAAGTGGTTTTCATTACCCATTTTACTCTTGGTAATTTAATAATTTAATACATTTCATAATTTAAAAGTTTAGTGCAGAAGTATCGAATCGGTATCGATATCGACGATACTGCCTTGAAAAATATCGGTATCGTATCGAAAACAAAATAAGGGGTATCGCCCATCCCTAGTGTGTGGTGAGTTAGAGGTTGAAGTGTAACAGAGTTAGTAGAAGTTACAATAATAATAGTGGCCTTTGCTTTAGCCATCACCACTCGTAAAAGCCTTGGTTCGTGGCCATGTGGATCCCACAACAGCAGCAAACCTCCGCCACACTGAAGTGCATTTTATTAGGCTTTACAGTCAATCAGTAGAGGAAGGATTTTGAGAAAACTCCATTACACTCCAAATACACCATCAAACAATGTTTACCCTCGACAGAAACAGTTACAGAGTCTTATCTAAGTGACAGAGAGGTGAGTGGAGAACACAGCTGCCTGCTAAACAAAGAGCGATGAGACTGTCTTTCCGATGCAGTCAGGTTTTTAAAGCTGTGTTAGAATTAGAAAGAGAGTTTTCCATTCAGCCAAACATATATTCATGACTCTAGTACTAATACTAGGCAATACTGTTCAAAAGTTTGGAGTCCATTTTTTTTTTTTTTAAGAAATGAATATTGTTCACTAAGGGTGCATGAAATTTTTCAAAAGTGGCAGTGATGACGTTTATAAAGTACAAAGGACTTCTCTTTCAAATAAATGCTGTTCTTTTGAACCTTAAACGAATCCTGAAAAAAAAAACTGTATCTTGGTTTCCACAAAATATTTAGCAACAAAACTGTTTTCAACATTGATAATAATGAATGTTTCTTGAGCATCAAATTCGCATATTAGTATGATTTCTGAAAGACAATGTAACACTGAAGACTGGCGACGTGGCTGCTGCAACAGCTATTTAAAATTATTATAATGTTTCACAATATTTTTACTGTATTCATTTATATCTTTACAACCTCAGACCTTAACAACCTTGTTTTGCAAACAACTCTTTTTATACACCAATGTGGAGAAACCTGGAAATATCTGGGAATTTTAAAATGATGATTTCCAGACCTGAAAAGTTGATCAAATTAATAAAATTTAAGAAATTTATAAAATCTTGCATGTCATTATTTTTTTTCATAGTTTCTGCATTTATATTTATTATGCTCTGTCCAATAATATTTCATCTCTGTGTTACATTGCACTGAAAAAAAATATGTAACTTACAGTATCTTGCTTGACCAGTTAGAGACAATGACATGCCACTAATCCCTGCCTATTTTAGGGCTAATCTTGTTTTCAAGTAATATAATTACATAAATACTGTTCTAATCTAATTCTCAGAATTCTCAGATTGTCAATTAATTTCCATCCCTTGAACTCTGTTTGTGTGGATTATATTTAAATGTTTTCATCACACTTTTTGATCGTTTGTTCCTATCAAACAATGAAACCACATGATCACACATTTGCCACATTTGACAAAACCACAGCAGTGGCATTTTCAGAATGAAAGAGTCAATGTATTAGGCATGGAAATGTGGAAGTCATGGAAATTCATTGATCAAAACTAGTGAAAACCCTGGGAGATGTGCATTATGGTGGCTTGCTTTGCTGGTCTGTGTTGTCAGGTCGACTCATTTTGTGAGTCAACACACCAGTAAACAATCAAATCCAGTGCACAGACAGTGTTTGTACTGTTCTACTAGTTATACATCAGGCCTACTCCCAGATTAATAGGCCAATTACGCAATTACAGTTCACATATTCACAAGGTTATACACCCAAACAACTGCATCAGGAGAAGAATGGGGAGATGGGGAGATGTAGTTGTGTCACATGACAGTCAATATGACCAATGCTATACAATTGTTTGCATGGTTATAGAGAAACCTCAGGTTCAAAATGAAAAATGAAACATCAAGGGATGGACTCACCATAGATAAAGGGATAGTTCACCCAAAAATGAAATTTATGTCATTAATTACTCCCCCTCATGTCTTTTCAAACCCGTAAGACCTTCATTCTTCTTCAGAACACAAGTTAAGATATTTTTTATGAAATCCGAGAGCTTTCTGACCCTGCATTGACAGCAACGCAAC